ATATATAACAAAACCCTCTTCTTACTCCGAACAGCAAAATATGCAGTAAAAGACACGGCATTTACAGGTTATGACAGTTTCTTTCTGCACATTTCAAAGACACATTTCTTTCTGTAAGGTACATAATCATTCACAAATTGAGTTCTTGATTTTTCATCAGTTAAGTACTTTACTCCACCTTCACTAATCTTAATATAAGATTATAATAATCTTAAGCCATTAAGCCTAACAACAATAACACACTAAACGATTAATACTCATTAACCATTAACCATCTATGATCGAGAGAGTAGCTACATAAACTTTTTTTTTTAATACAAAGAAAGCTGATTTCAAAGTCCAAAGGGAAACCAACAAAAGTGTCACTTACAATATTCGTAGAGATCCATCGACATCGCTAACAGTTTGTTGATTTCAGCCATTGCCAACTTACTTTCTTTCTTGGCAGACAAGCTTGGCAAGTTGTTCATAACTAGATCATCCAAATCATTATATGTGCAGCTTTTGGTTGTCCAGAAAATCCATCTACATTATCGGATATCGAAAAACTGTAAGATTAGACTATGTCGAATTCCATTTAACCAGTTAACATATCATATTTTTCAGTTGGGAACTTAAAATCCTAAGAACTTGGACCTAACAACTCATCAGCTACCTTGCATATAATTTAGATAAATTGGTTTGATCAAACAAAAATAGGAAAATAAAAACGAAATCAATATGGATATATAGAAACATTATGAAAGCAGATAGCAAACAACAAATATAATTACCCGTGAACATCTTCTTGCACCCTATTCGGTCTGGGATTGGGCTCGAGCCTAGGAATGGGTTGAAAGGGTTCCGGCCATGGAGGAGGAAAAAGTGCGATTGGTGAGGAATTTTGGTCCAGTGGACTCGGGAAGCCGGCGTCGAGCGGTAGTCGGATGAGGAGCGAACAAAGGTCGAGTTTTCGGCGTCAATTGTCGATCGATTCTCCCGTGTTTGGTACTCCCCTTACTGTCGAACCCCCATTGCTGCCATTTTTTTTTTTTTTGGCTAACTCGAGCACCGCCAGAGCTTCTTGCCGATTTTCAACGCGATCTTGGCGGCGATTAGAAATCTGATGTCGGGGCTCGCTATCCCGACGATGAGATTTAACAGGAAAAATCTTGAGGAATATAGTTAGGGTTCAACAAAATTTGGAGGAATTAAAAAAAAAAAAAGAATCGAGTTATATAAATTGAAATGCAATTTACTAATATTTGGTGGTTTTTTTGAGATTCATAAGATGTTTAGGTCAAATTTATAAGATGTGAAAAGTTCTAACACCTTTTATGTAAATTAATTAACAATTTATATTGTTTTTTCTTTAATTTTTTTAAGTAAGGGCATTTTCGGATTTTTAACATGTATTTATTCGATTTTTTATTTACTTAAAAATGAAAAAGGACATGTGTCAAACATTAAAGAGTTACCTGTTATTAAGTAGGTACAAGTCAAAGTACAAGGTTACCTGACTGTAGAATCACCCAACTTAATATTGAAACTCTCAAATAAAAGAGTTGAAAATTTAAGTCTTATTGTAACACAATAAAAAAAGTGAAGCCCTGCAATAAAATTTTTCCGATACTCCAATCGTCTATTCCGGTTTGGTAGCAAGCGTTTTAGTGTAACAAACCGAACCAATCGATAAACTGGTTCCGGTCCATCCTTTCGGGACTGTCCGTCATTTCCGGAAAAGAAACACAACGAAATCCACTTGCTTCTTCTCCCACACACGACCCTCATCGCAGAACCAGTCTCCGCCACCGGCGCCAATCAGTATCCGATTACCGCCACCGCCATATCTACCTTGATCTTCTCGTCCGCACTCAGTTATAACTACGGCGGCGGCGGAGAGCTCTGTTTTTGTGTCCTTTCCCATGAGTGATTTGGTGCATGAACGGCGGCTTTACCCTATTGAGATTCTGTACTTCCTTATGAATTAGGTGCAAATTCGACCTCGTTCTCCGATTGTAAGCCTCCGCGGCCCTCCTACCACTGCTTGCCGTAGTATGGAAGTGTAATTACACCCTAATTCTCTAGCTATACCTGTTGATGCAGCATATTTAGACATCATTTATTCGCAGCTTAGCAATTCAGTTCTCTAGTGCCAAAATCCAAAAATTTCTATTTGAATGTTACCAATTCACTGAGCATTTTTTACATGATAAAATGTTTCTTTTATGGTTGTGTTCTTTGGTAGTAGATGTTTCGTCTTCAAGCTGAGGGATGAATACATTAAGTTCAATTTATTCTCCTTCACTAATGGCTAAATCTTCCAATACAGCGCATATGTCAAAAATGATAGTAAACGATGATTAAGGGTGTTATCTTATAATTTGATATTTTTTTTTCCGGAAAATGATCCTTCATAGTTTGCTTCCACATGTGAAGGCCATGGATACAAATGATGATGAAGAGATTGTTATGACCCACGAGGAACATTCGAATGTCAGAATCTCAAGCAATCTGGACTTGAATGTGGAACAAGACTGTCGAAGCCCAAAACCGTCCAATGCTAACGGGCTTCCTTCCAATGGTTCATCGAAATATGAACAACTCAGGCTCAGCATGGAATTTGAATCGGACGAGCAGGCGTACAGATTTTACAACAAGTACGCTGAGCTGGCGGGGTTCAGCGTGCGGAAGGACTGGGTCAACCGGAGTAAGGTCCACGGCCGCGTGATGTCCAGAAAGTTCACTTGTTCTCGACAGGGCCACCGGAAAAAGGACAAGAGAGATGCTAATGTCAAGAAGCACCGCAAGGAAACACGAACGGGCTGCCTGGCCCACATGGTGGTCATGCGTCAGCCAAATGGGAAGTATCTTGTTACCCAATTCGAGGCCAAGCACAATCATGGCGATGTGGACCTAGAAAAGGCCGAGAAGCTACTCGAATCTCTGTTGTCTGAAAACACCGACTCTAACCAAGGTTCTGGAAGTGAGTCAACGAAGAACTCAGAGATTCAGTCGACATTATCTCTACAGTTGTTAGGAATAAGGTTTTGTCCTCCAGATAATTTTGACGACCTTCAGATGGATGAAGAAATTTTCTTGGGCTGCGGACGTACAAGGGATATGAAAGAAGGCGATGCTGCACGTCTCATGTGCTACTTTCAGAGGCAACACTTCATGAATCCTTCATTTTTTTATTCTGTGCAGCTCGATATAGACGATAAGGTGAGCAACATATTCTGGGCAGACGATAACACGATTGTTGATTATGGCCACTTTGGTGACGTTGTTTGTCTAGACACGTCATGCATGAGAAAGACGAATTTCCGTCCATACCTTCAGTTGGTCGGGCTGAACAATCACAGGCAGGTCGTGATTTTTGGTGCCGCCTTCTTATACAATGACAGTGTTGACTCCTTCAAGTGGCTCCTCCGGACTTTTATTGAGGGGATGTCTGGTAAGAAGCCTAAGTTTATCTTGTCTGATCAGGATGCAACGGTTGTCCAAGCAATTCATGCCGTGTTGCCTGAGGTGAATCACTGTATGTGTGCCTGGCAGGTGTATCTAATCGCGCTTAAACATCTTCACCATGTGGTGAAGGAGTATGATTCATTTGCTGCAGATTTTCGTAATTGTGTTTTCAGCCTCGAGCAGGAAGAAGATTTTACCAGGGCGTGGGACTTGATGTTGGAAAAACATGGCCTACGTAATAATGCGTGGCTGAAATGGATGTTTAGAGAAAAAGAAAAATGGGCTGTAGCATATGGTAGAAATACTTTCTTCATCGAAAGGGATAACACGCATCTGGTCGAGCTTTTGTCTGATAAACTCAGAAGCTACTTAGGCCCTGATATTGATGTGCTTCATTTTTTCAAACATTTCAAGAGCGTGGTGAATGAACAGAGGTACAAAGAGCTAGAGTTGGCTCTCGACACAGGAAAGCATACTCCAATTTTGATGACCAATGCAATTTTTCTAAAGCCTCCAAGCGAGATTTACACGCCAAATGCGTTCGGAGTGTTTCAAAGAGAATATGAGAAGTGCTTGAACGTCGTAATTAACCAGTGTGGTGAGCGGGACTCGAGAATTGATTATAAAGCCAAAACATATGGGAAGACTAGGGACTTCTCGGTTGTGTTTAATTCCCATGATGGCACGGTTTCTTGCAACTGCATGAAATTTGAGCATGTGGGCTTTCTGTGCTGCCATGCCCTAAAAGTGCTCGATCATCAAAACATAAAGGTTGTTCCTTCGTATTACATATTGAAGAGATGGACGAAAGAAGCCCGGGTTTCAGCTGCTGTAGAAAATAGTGATTACACACAGGAGGATGACAATAAAAACATAATCGCGTCTCGTTATAGAGATTTATGCCGGAATATAATAAAATTATCTGCAAGGGCTGCTGGATCTGACCCGGCATTTGAATATGCTTCCAGACAACTTAATGAGGTGATGCAAGGGATTGAAAGAATCTTGAATTTTAAATCTTTTGACAGCGATAAGGGCACTTGTTCTGCCAGTGGTGAACTAGCTGATGTTGATAACATCAGAACTGAATATGACTGTGAGGTCGATGCTGATGTCTTGAAAGGAAGTGCTGTGACAGAAGGCATGGTGCCCAATAAAGATCAACTGAATCAATCTGATGAACAATTTCCCCATTCAAGTGGTGGACTGAGTGTTCGCCAGTCCCCAGTTGAGACGGTTCCGCCTGTTGCATGTCCCCCTACCACGTACATCTCATCTCCGAGTCCAACTCCATCATTAAGTCCATTAGCACAGGTTAGATTGGTTGAAATTTGAACTGTCTATTAATTTTCTGACTTTTCTCTAATTTAAAATAAAACTAAATGCATATATCGAAATATAGTGAGGTCCAAAAAGAATTTTGTGTTTATAAAAAAAGAAATTATTTGAATGTGAGTCTTGTTAGTGGAATATCTGGAAAAACAGTGAACTGTTTAATTTATTATGTTAGGTATATATAATGACGACTCACATTGAAATAATAATCTCATTTATTTCTATTTCTTTGGGTTATTCTGTTTCTGTGTTCACCGTGTTTTTTGTTATATATTTAAGGGCTTATACACCATTGAAGCCAACCACATTGTCCAGGGCATGTACCAAGCATCTAGTTTAACCATTAACCAGCAGCCTAATCCTAACATGTACGAGCATCCGAACTTTTACACCAACCAAAATCACTCTCCTGGCCATGCTCAATTCTTACAGGTAAAATTCATTTGACCCTACCATCACAATACTTTTACGGCTCCATATAAATAATTTGTTGAGTTCTCACACAGGACTCCCTAATCCGTAACCAGTTCCAGGATCCCATGCCAAACAGTACTCAGTTGAAGCCGGTAATGCATAGTTGGTAGGAATAAAGGGAATTTGGTGGTTCTTTTGATCTTTAACCCCCCCCC